TTAAAAATACGAAACGCATTATGATACTTATTCTTCGCATTGACACGCCTAAACTTGTGATTCTTGATTCTCGACCTCGACGCTTCACAACGCATTACGCATTTTAGAACACTGCTTTTAGTTAGAGCCATAAGACTGATTTTTTTGAAATCTTTGAAAAGTAATTTCCACATCTTTCTCTCATTTCCTCACTGGTACCGAAGTGATAAAGTTGGAAAGCGCAGTGGTAAATTTTTCAGACTTTGAAAAGAAAATGGACCATATTAAATTATTAATGAGCTTGTTTTTGCCTCATTTTTATTGAAGAATGCATTTTGAAACGATTATCCTATTTATACCTAAAAATGATACATAAGAGATTACATAAAATGATGAGAGAAATGATTGGATGAAAAAGTTGACCATATTTTACATCGGCAAATGATAGAGTGATATGTGACATTATGTAAAACATTATGTAAACCTTGATGTAGTAACGCCCCATATTGGAATAGTAGATTGATACAGAATGTGTTGTTGAAAAATAAGAAAAAAATTTAAATTTATGTATAATATTATTTTATTAAAGAATGTATGATTGAAAAGAAGTTAGAGAAAAATATATTTTGAAAATAATGGGGATTAAACAACGGCTATATATTTTGATGGCTAATTATGAGCGTATCAGCATTTTTATTTATTACACAATTAACTAATTGCATTAAAATGAGTTTTTTGAAAAACAAAAAGTTTTGGAATAATGATTTTTTGGAGATTGTATGGTTAAAAAATAGAAAAAAAGTTTTGGATTTATGAGATTTTTTTTAGAACATGCGGTTGAAAATAAGTTTAAAAAAAGAGTTCCGTTTTAATGATTGTCAAACATGGGCTTATTGTAGTACTTATGCTCCAATTTTTTCTGTTGCAATTTTATCATTGACCTTTCATTAATTAACATCATAATATAATAGTTTCCGTCCAAAAGTCTATCGAATGATGGAAAATGACTTATTTGCCTATCATATTTTTGAAAAAAAAATAAAAAATACAATTAAATATTTTTCTCCCCATTTTGAAACACACAAGCAAAGTTTTTTTACATATACCATCATTAAATATAAAATATGTTAACTAAAATCATCTTTAATGACACTATAATAGTGTAAAATTGAGTGTAAATTAATACCTTCGAAATCATTTTTGTATCTTAATTTACATCCCAATGGATTTGAATCCAAATTTTGCTCCAATTTGGATATTAATGTAAAGGGAGACACCACTTGTACAAGGTCCAGTGCCCACCTTTTTTGGTATAGCCATTGGATCAGCAGAAGTGGGTCTCACATCAACTTTTTATGGGTGACAACTTTTTTTTTTTTTTGGGTAAAGTTGGTCCACAAGTTGATGTAAAAACATGAAAAAGTCCATTTTTTTTTGGTTGGAAATGTAATTTGCATTTACTTTATATCTTTCTATTGGAGAGAATTTCGACCAATTTGAAGATCTAAATCACAAATTAAATCTATTGTAGAACACCAACGGAGGTGCTCTAATGAAATTCTAAAAATAAGATTTGAGGAAAAAAAAAGTTAGGGCTCAAAGGTCGAATACGCAATTAAAACCTCGTTTGATTTTGATTATTTGAGAATCATTTTTCTTCGCATTCATAATTTCATTTTCATTTTCAACTTCAATTTCTCATTTTTTTTTCCAGGTTTTAAATAACTTTTTACTTATTTTTAACTACATATTTACAATAAAACATATTTAGCCCCTATTTGATGAAATATATTGTTAAAAAGTTGTGAATTTCATAAAATATATGGTTAAAATTAATTAAAATTTCTATCATACAAGGAATTAAAGAATCACTTCTTAAAAAATCTTTATCCAACAAGTCCTAAAATGCTCAACCATATTTGAATCCTTTTTATTAAAACTCATTTTTCTTTCTTTATTTTTATTTTTTTAAAGATCACTTTGAAAAGATAGGTGAGAGGAATGATTACCAAAGTACTGAAAAAGAAATTACTCTTGTAAATGATATAAAAAAGCCAGCAATGCTATTCTCTCTCCCTCCACCCCAAGTCCCTACCCCTCTCTCTCTAGCTCAGGCACGAAGTAGCCATAGTAGACAGAACCTAGATAGAGACAAAGACACAGTCGAAATCTTAAAAAATGTCAAAAAGCAAACAATGGCAATGCACAACAGGACATATTTGTAACACTATTCTCCACAAATACTGAAATACATACGTCGCACCGCAATTCACCAAACCACTCCAACTGTCCCGGACCCCTTAACGCCCGACCCATTTCCTGTTTTCGGGTTCTCAACCCCACCCTTCAAAAGTTTTTCAAGACAAAAATCAATTGGAGATTGAAAAATGTATTCTGCTATGCCCATACACAGTTTGGCATTGGATGGGAGTGGATGGGAGTATCCATTTGATGGTACCAACTTGGTTGGGGATCCGTGTGTAGTTCTCACGACGGATCCGAAGCCCCGACTCCGGTGGACTTCGGAGCTCCATGAAAGATTTGTTGATGCTGTCACTCAGCTTGGTGGCCCGGACAGTCAGTTCCCATTTCCCTTTTTCCCTTATATTATTACCGATACATGTGTGTGGACATGTCTATTTAATTTGCATATGTGTTGACTTTTTGTTAATTCTTGCATAAAATGCAAGCATAAATAAGAAAAAATTGTAGGTAATTCTACTGTTGGAGATGAACACAGTTGTTTGACTAAAAATATTAATGGAGCACTTGAAAGTATATATCAAAATTTTGTTAGAATGTGTCTGCCAGTGTATCTTTTCAAATTATTGATGGGATTTCCTTTGTATTTTGTGCTAAGGAAGATTTACATTGCTTTGGAGTTAGGTCAATAAGCAATCCTTATTTCATGATCAGGGGTGTAATGTTCCTTTAGTAGAGGTCCTTGTATATGTATTGACAGTCCGAATATGGTTGAAATCTATACTCTCAAATTTGCATTTGACTTTGGTTTATTCCGGTGCAGAGTTTTCAGTTACGGAAAAAACACAAGGCAGTGGATTTAAAGTTTTATGAGCGAAGAATATGAAAAAAAATCTGTATTCTTGATCTGTGGAGAATACAAGACTTTAAAAGAGTGCTCTAAAAAGTTCTCTTTTTCGTCTTGTTGAAACTTCTACTTAAATATGATTTCTACAACAATTCAAAAGTCTATCCTTTCCAGCCACCTTAGCTCGTACCTTCCTTCGGTTGTAATAAATTATCCACCTTAGTTGTGGCTTCAAAGAAAAAATCTAATTCAAATGGAGTAATTGTGTTGTGTTAATAGTTGTGGTGAAGGATTTAGTTCTGCTGAGAGTTAATGCTGTGGTTCTAAATGAAACAAGATTTCTAACTGGCAAACCAATTATTTGCCAGACCTTATTCTTAACTTCATATTGTTACTGAGCTTTAGCATTACCAATTAACACAAATAAATCGTCTTTAGTCTTTGCTGCTAGGCCCACTCTTACACTTGTTGACCGATTCAAGTGACATTTATTACTATCTGCTCATAACGAGAAACGGCAGGGGCTCAGCCAAAAGAGTCTCTATATCTCACTATGCAGACTTGCTGTAGAATTGGTGCTGAGGATACACAGTTCGAACACAATCACAAACTTATGCCACATAGAACCTTAGGGAAAAACATGATGCATGGAATTTACATTTATGTTTAAAACCAAGGAAAAAAGAAAAAAAATGAAAGGATAAGTTTTGTTATGCAAAAGTTTGCTAACAGAAGGCAAATTCCTTTTGGTTCTCCCCCAAAACAATCCTCCTTTTTTTGGACTTTCTGACAGCCACAAACTGAAATGTGTAAGAGGGCAGCAAATTGTACTATGATTATTTGAGGGAGATCAGGTGTGAAATAGAATGCGAGATTTATTACCCTTTTCATTTATCTGAGTTCTGTTTACATTTACCGAGCCCTGACGTTTATCACTTAAGTGACTTAACAAATATGCTTCCATTAACCTCTCCTCACTGTTTTAAATGAGGTTTACCTTTTTCTTGCCTTTTCTTGATGTTTTTGTTTGTTTAATAGCAATACATACATACAATGTCCTGATTTACTATATTTTTCACTATTTTCGGATAGATAAGTTAATTTGATGCATCATTCCTGATTTACATTGCAGAAGCAACCCCAAAGATGATAATGAGAACAATGGGAGTAAAAGGCCTGACGTTGTATCACTTGAAGTCGCATCTTCAGGTATGCTGTTTCACGATACATTTCCTATCCTCAACCCACCTTAGTATCCTCGTGAGCCAAGGAGATTAAAAAAAAAGTGCTTTGCCTTTTCTCTATTTTGATTCTCTTGGAAGTATAACTTGTTAATTTGCAAGGGTAGATAATCCAGTACCTTACATTGCAGAAATACCGCTTGGGAAAGCAAGCTAACAAGGAGTTGACTGACAACTCTAAAGATGGTACTAAGAAAAACCTTCTTTGTCATGATTCATATTTGACCATTTCACATTCTCCGCATGCCTAGTTTTTTGGTTTGACATTTTTCTTACATTGAACTAATAGAAATGTTAATCACTAAATCTAAGGTAATGATAGTACAGGAACATCCTCCATTTATCAAGTTCTAAATTTGGTATGCTTTGTTAATCCGACTGAAACAATTGCCTGTTGGGATCGAAGAGTACACAGCAGAAGTAAAACAGGATAGGTACTTACGTAGAAGACGAGTCCGCATCTGAAATTTTCTGTCCAAGCTCCAAGTTGACTCGGGTGTGTGGACATCCTTTGCAACACAAGATTTATTTATTTTTAATCTCAACCTCTTTATCTAATAGAGATTTTTTGGGAAAAATAATGAACAAATTAAATTCCTTTTTTGATTTTTACTTCCCCTGGCTGAAAGCCAAAATATGAAAATAAAATAAAATAAAATAAATTGCTTGAAGATATGAATTTAAGTCTTTCCTCACTACTTAGTCAATTACAAGAGATTCAGATTGCTTAGTCAATTACAAGAGATTCAGATTGCTTTTCCAAATTTGAGGTCAAAAACATCTATTTGAAATAGATATCAGAATGCTGATCATCCTGCACTATTTGGGCCTATGATATATAGATGGAATCAGGATTAGATTTGCTAAACACAGCTTATGTTTCTAGTAACTAAGCAGAGTTTTAACCTAACTCTCATCTCTACTAATTTGAGGGCATGTTCAACATATTTTATGGTTTGTATCTAGGTGGCATAGAAGTTGAAAGACTTTTGGTCTATGCATTGATGTCTATTGAATAGACACTCAAGTCTAAAATTGGTCTCTAATGTATTATATCTAAAATTCAATAATATTGTCTAGGTGTCTTCTACTTTCTTAAAGTAAAAACTAAGTCATATCTAAATCTGAATAGGAAATATAAATGTTGATGAGTTAGCACATGTAATAGAGTTCCTAAATCTAAACGTAGTTCCGGACAATGTCTTTTTTCTTTTTGCCACATCAACTTGATGGGGTTCTTGTGAGATTGAAAAGATGTTTTTTAACATTTTGCATTTTGCCTTCTTTTTCTTGTGCTTTACTAGTAGGGCTAATTATTGTCCCTTTGATGGCCTTGGTCACTCGAATATGTGGTTTGTATACAGCAACATCCCGTCACTCGAGTGAAACCTATCTGACTAAATCTCCGGTGAAGAGAATGGTTCCTCGCCCATGACTCTCATGTCTCGCAATTTGCTCCAACCCGGATGGATGAAAAAGTCTAATGAACCCTATCTTTTGAGGTTTGCTGGACACGTTGAGCCCTAAAACTGATCTAGTCACAAATTTTTACTTCTCAGCGAGTGACAAATTTGTCCCCGGTCTACATTGAAAGCTTCTACAATAGAACTCATTCGAGAGATGTCTAGCCAAAGCAAACAAAAAAAAGGAGTGAAGAACTTCGACGAACAAAAATGGTTCATTGTGCAGACCACCCTTGATGACTGGGGAGACGAGTCCATCGACTCTTTTAATGGGATAGATGGTAAAGGGTTGCCGACGCCCAAAAGTGATGATCCATTTTTCCTTCTCAGTTGCTGGAACATGGATCAATCCTCTAAAAAGAAATTGAATGAGTACACAATTACTAAATTTTTTTTGAGCAATCAATTTGAAGCATTGAAGATGCTCTAATAAGATTACAATTAGTCTTATTGAAGTTATTTTCGAACTCTAATTACTAACAACTAAGAGGGATTAGGCTTAGCCCTTGTTTGGTATAGATTCTTTAAAATTTATTTTTTTTCAAATCCATTTTCAACCACAAATTCTCCCAGTAAAATAGTTTTGCACGGGATCCGTAACTTTCCCTAACCGCACATTTTTCAAAAAAATCACTTTTCCCAATTTTTTTCTCAAAAAGATTTATATCAAACAGGCAATGGCGGATCTTGAGTGAACACCAGCGGCCGTTGGCCTTTGGTCGTCAATGGCCGCAATAAAAATCAAATATATCTATTATTATATTTTTGTAATATTTGATTTCAACATTCACTAAATACAATGGTAGTCAAGCTTTCCATAATTCCAAAGGAGAGCACGGGTTCGAATCCCATCACACCAGTTTTAATAACCAAATATCTATTACTTTTCTAAAACTGAATATATATATATATTATTTTTTTTTTTCCTTCTTTTTTTTTTTCTTTTTTTGTTAGATTTAATATTAACATCCACCGAATGCAATAGTGGTCAAGCTTGCCATAATTCCAAAGGAGGTCAGAGGTTCGAATCTTTTCCATTGCATTGGTTTTAATGACAATACTTCAAAATGATGGAAAATATTACACTAAAATAATTAAATGAAAGTTTGTTCTTATTGATAGTCGAACTCAAGCCCTCCCATTTACAAAGTGGATCTCCTACCAATTGAACTACAAAAATTACTTGAAAATAAATGAAATTACCTCATTCTATGGATGTTGACGTTTCACAATCTATAGTAAGAGACTCGTTGCTAACCTTGAACTAGTAATTAAGTTACAAGAAATGCCCATGTGATGCAACATTTAAATTTTATTTGATTCGTAAACAATTAAATTAATTAGGATTTACATTTATTTTCCATTATTTTAAGGCACCGTTTGTCTCCCATTATTCCAAAACATTGTTTGATACAGTAAGATTCTCCACCACACATTCACCCAATAAAATATTCTACATACAAATCAATAAAGTTACTTTAAATTTCAACCACACATTCTCCAAGAAATACTATTCGTTACTCCATTTCTTCTATAATAATGGGAGACAAAACACACTAATTTTCTATTTGAGACAATTTTATTTCCTTATGTTGTTTCTTACCAAAACTTGTCAGCATTGATCCTTGTCTGATGAGGGCAATGCTTTGAATTGAAGACCACATTATTCTTGAATACAGTTAGAAGTTTCAAATTCTTTTCTCTCAGCGGGCCCTTTCTGGCTTCTCTTCTCTCTTTCTTATCAATATTAGGATGTGAGCCCTTGACTCATTTATTCCTTTTCTTTTAAAAAATTATCCAGACTTGAGGGAAATTAAAGCAAAAATTGATGGCCTTTTTTGCAATTATTGGAATGGTCCAATGAAAATAGAATAGGGCATTTTTTTTGCTTCTATTGTTTGAAGGCAGATAACACACATCCCTATTTGGGAAGAAAGGGTTTGGCTCTTTTATTCTTCAAGCCTTGTCTACCACCGTTTATTTGTCTTCTATAAGATTGTTCAGGTATTGTTGCTTTAGTTTCCATCTAGTATTGTTAGATAATGGTGTATTGTACCGAGCCAAGAATGCATTCTTGATGTAGTGTGTTGGAATACCTCTTGATTTGGCCATAAATTTGGAGAGACTATCGTAATCCTATTGTTTTGGTGATAGTAGATTTTATCAATTTATTTTCCCTTTGTCTTGAAGGGTTTTACAACTTTAAAGAATAATTTGAGTGTTAGTTTGTGCTAGCTTTATTATTTCGGTATTTTATATTGTTTGTGTTGGTTATTGGTTGAGTTGATTGTCTTCCTTTTTAAATCACCAGTGAAGGGAAAGTTTATATTGTTGTGCACATTGGTATTGCCTTGTTGCTATTGCGAACTTGAGGTATTGCTGGTCTCGTAGATTGGGTATTGTGGTGCATTTTTGGTTTGCTTGTATTTTCCTACAATCAATTCTGACATGGATTGTTCACTTTGGTTGTTTGTCGATTGCGTTCGTCATCACCATGATTTGTATGCTCTATGTATGAGCCAATCTCCATACACCAAATCTTGTATAGTATAAACTCGAGGGGTAAATGTTCATGTAATCCTTGGGAACAAATTATGTGTTCTGAATGCATATAAATGCTAAATCAAATTCTAACAAATTTAATGACTATTTTAAGGGCTCATTCCTAACAAAAATGTTGACCTCAAAATTTTGGGAATTTAACCCCTCAAAATAATGGCTATTTGCATATTTATCCATTATGTTTTTGTTGTAGATGTTACATATGTTGATTTTGATATTTATATTTTTTTTTCCTCTTATCAACCCTGCCTTTCATTTTAGATTTCCCCACTTTCACGGTGAGTTTAGGGATAGTGTAGATTTCGACAATTAGGATATGGCATATGGCGTTATGGGATGATATCATTTCGCTGCCCATACACTTTACTAAGTGTCGCCTAGCAAATACTATGTTGCACAATTATAATCCTTTGTTGAGCGAACAAGATGTTGATCGGATATTCTGGATTTTTTTTAGAAAAAGAGTTTTTAGTTTTATATGGATTAGGTGGACTAGTGAATGCCTTGGATTTTTTTTTTTCAATGGTATACTAACAGGTAAACTTGAGAATTTCGGAGGATTTGTAAGATGATCCAATATTTCCAAATGATACTCTTTTTTAAGGCATCAAATGAGTTTTCCTCAATCTTTTGTTTACTTTAAGATATTCCACTTTTACTAGCCAACATTCATGTCTAAGACTGTAATTGTGGGAACTAATGTTGATTCTAGCTGCCTCTAAAATGTGATTTAAAGGTGGATTGTTCTATAAGGAAGAGACTTTATGAGGCAATCCGTTGTCTGATAGGTGTCCAAAAGTTGGAGGATTGGAAGGAAATCTTCTCTCTAAAGAGGGGCAGATTAAGTCTTATTAGGTCAATATCGGGCAAGGTTTCTGTCCTTATAGAGAAACTTATGAGGTCTATTTTTGGGGATAATCTGCCTTGAGAGTTGGGTAACCCATAAGCTTGGGTAGAAGAACACGGGAAAATGGCTTTGAATATTTCTTGTGGAACTATCTTCTTTATGGAGTAAGGTTGCGAGTTGCAATCATGGTCTGTAAACCTAACAGTTGGGGTTCCGAAAGACCATGAGAGATTCTGGTAGAAATGGCTTTGAATATTTCTTGTGGAACTATCTTCTTTACGGAGTAAGGTTGCAGGTTGCAATCATGGTCTGTAAACCTAACGGTTGGGGTTCTGAAAGAACATGAGAGATTCTGGTAGAAATGGTTGGAAGTTTATATCTTTTGGGTTTTCTTTTATTCAGTTCACGAAATGGGATGTGGGTGCAGGAGATGGGATTCTGTTCGTGGAGAAAGTTGGGCTCGATTATTTATTTATTTTTTAATAAAGCACCATCAGAGCCCCAGTGTGTAGTGTGTTTTTCGATAGGATGGAAGGGGCTAGAATTCCCTAACCATAATATAAATGCAAATAAATGAATACAATGAAGGTGTATATACCTAACCTCTAATAAGCAGTGGCGGATCCAGCACCAGGCGAGCATCGGCCGCCGCCCGTGCTGGATCCTTTAGAACAATTTTTTTTTTGGTTGATAATAGATAAAATGTTTAAATTATATATCTGATAATTCATTTTGTTTTAAAACATTTCTTATAGCTCAGTTGGTTAGAGCCTCCATATTCAAATTGGAAGTCCTGTGATCAAATCTCTTCTATACCAATTTATAGTGTAATTTTTCTAGTTGTACAATTTTTACCAAAACAAATGCAATAGGGAGGAGATTCGAATCTGTGAGCTCTTTTTAAGATTATTGAAAGCTTTACCATCATGGCATTCGTTGAATTTTGATACTAAATGTAACAAAATAATATATGTTAAGTTTTAGCGGTTTTAATGCAATTGTAAAGATTTGAATATGTGCTCTTCCTTTGAATTATACAAAACTTGGCCACTATGTCATTTGGTGAATATTGTTGATATATATAACAGAATTATACATGTTTAGTTTTAGCAAAATAATTGTTGTATTTAATTTTTAATACTTTATTGCGCCCATCAGTCAACGGCCGCCCGTGCTCATTCAAAATCCTAGATTCGCCACTGCTAATAAGAGGAATAAAATTGAGGAGATATTACCTCTTGCAAAAATGTTAAAAAAGAAATAAATGGCTAAAGGCCTCTAAAAGTGGGAAGCCCATGTTTGTCTCGGGGCAAGCCAATGGGATCATATTACTGATAGCAACATTGCTCACATCCCTCTGTAGAAATTTTCCTCATGATAGATATGTGAAACAGTGTCACAATCAAAAGAAACTAAATGTTTGATGTGCTTGAACGCATCCTGGATAGGTCACAGACTCCACCAAGTGTAATGCAATGAAGAAGAATTTGCTTCTATCAATAAATCTGAGAGACCAAGTCGTTGCGCAAGAATGATTCTATGAAGAATGGCCCTCGGCTCAGCCTCTAGTATACAATCACCATACGATGAGAAGAATGCACGAATAGACGGTCTAGAGTGATCCCGGACGATACCCTATCACTAGAAAAATCATCTTTGACCACCCGTCGATGTTCATCTTGCAAGATTCCAAGTGCAGAACATGGCAAGAAATCAGAATAGGAGAGGTTGGGGGGGATGAGTGAAGAGATACCAAATAAAGGGGCGATATCGAAGTCCCCTCGGCAGTGCACAAACTGAAATAAATGGCCTGTGTGAAGAAAGGAGATTGCCCGATATACCTACCATCTGATCCTCCAAGGCTTCATAGCTAAACTCTGGTGCTTCACATCATTCGTCACAATCCATAAGAACCAAAAGATGAGCAAAGGTTGTGGTTCTTCTTTTCTTAAAAACTAATATTCCATTTTTTGCTTGGAAATATACCTATTAATTTTGTTTTTATAACTCTGTGAAGGTTGGACAATGAATTGAAATTTTTGAATTCCGACACAACTAACTTGAAGGAAAGTGAAATTTTTGATTTGTCCTCTTTGTTGACTATCTGGGAATTTCCGTTTGAAACCATTTTGAATTGACTAAAGTTGTAGATGTTGAGTTCCTTTAGTTTATTTATTCAATTTTTGGTAGCTCACACTTTCATGCTCTTGTTGATTTGCTGAACTCCCTGATTTTAGACCAATTCAAATTCATCTAGAAATATTGTGTCCCCTATGAACAAGTTCAAGGGTTTTCCTGTAATAATTCTTGCTAGAAATAAGATTTTATATTCTTGGTTTTCTTTTTACTCTTGGTATTAGAGGATTTCTTTACCTCTCGATGATTATAATTCTATATTCTTCATGATGAATGAAAACAGATCTTTCATCAGTTAAGAAAACAATATCGAGTCTTTCTTTATGGAGGAAATTAAAATTTTGGAATAAATGTTTCATGTGGCATGACGGTCTTCCAAATCTGGTGGAAATGAGAATTTGGGAAATAAATGGTTAATTGGAAGAAAAAGGATTTGACCATATGGATAACATGGTGGCATCTTATAAATCATTCCTAGCATTTCAAATTCTAATTCATTCATTTGTGGTTGCTTTGGCTGCAGCATCTTGTGGTGCTGAGAGTCTGGATACTGGTTCATCTACATCAGCTTCATCGAGAATAATTTCACAAGATATAAATGAGTATGCTATATCTTTTCTTTAATCAGAAGTTTTATTTATTTATATTTAAGTTCTATTTATTTATTTATATCATATTTTCACCAGTGGTTACCAGGTTACTGAGGCTTTACGAGTACAGATGGAAGTTCAGCGAAGACTGCACGAGCAGCTGGAGGTTAGGATATCATCTGTCTATTTAATTGTTTGATTTTTTGCTATGCATGGACGCATGTGTTTCCTATTTCTGCTTGATGACGTTTAGCTTTAGCTTCCAACATTATCTGTATTTGTGCCTTTTAGTTCTTGGTGAAATTTAGCATATTTTGCTACTATTAAAGTAACCTATCTTACTGTTACTTTTAAGTAACCTTTTGATTTTAAACGAGTTTGGAAAGGTTATTGGTTTTTTAAAATGTTACTTGATTGTAACTTGGGTTACTTTCAATTATTTTCCAACTTGACCAACTCAAAATATTTATTTATTTTAGAACTTACTTAATTTCTACTGAATAACAGAGATTGTTCTCCGTATGTCGCTAGCACTTAAAACAGCGGAAGGAATAAATTTTAAAAACCCAAAATTGAATATCTGTTTTCCAGTTGCATAGTTTCCATATGCTCCATTAAGTTTGAATTTTAGTACCATGCTCTGATGCAAAAGGAGTTTCTTCTTATAATACCATGAAAAGCAGGTCGAGCGTCATCTCCAGATCCGAATAGGAGCACAGGGAAAGTATCTGCAGTCAATTCTTGATAAAGCTTGTAAAGCTCTTAAAGATGAGGACATGGCCTCTGCCGGGCTAGAAACTGCTAGGGAAGAACTCTCTAAACTTGCTATCAAAGTTGGTAATGAATGTGACGGCCGGATTACCTCGCTGCCATCCATTGGCAAGGGCATGGTGTTGGATGGAAGTCTAGTTACCCCCGCACCACAGGCTGCTGCACTGAAAAAAAGACCACGGACTTTGTTTGGTAGTGGAGATCCATCTTCTTTTGATGGCAATATGCAGGCAGCCAAGTGGATGACGGCAAATATTGGATGAATTTAAAAGACATTTCCTTTTTATTTGTGCGTTGGATTGAGCAAAATGATTGAGCAATGTTGTAAACTGTAATGTTGTCAGTGGTTTGTATATTCATGGATCAAGAAACTTCAAAGTGATTTTCATTACTCTTGTATTTGTTGAAGTTGTTAGAGGGGCATATTGTAATTTAAACCTTGCTTTCAATCCAAATCCCTTCGCACGTAAGCATACTTTATTTTTCTTGTATAGTTTCAAGTGACGGCGAGACTTGAGTTCAAGACTTTTCGAAAGTTTTGATATCATGTTCTTTTTTGCAATTTTATTCTTTTGGGTTTATTTTCTTTAAAATTCTCGCTTTAAAGTTATTTATTTAATTAATGGACAAAAACATACTTTGGTGTTGGAATATAAGCATGTTCAACAGCACAACAGATCACACAACCTCAGCTCACGTTCAGCTCCTTCTAGTTTCTTCTTTAGTTTGTTATTAGTTGTTAGTTTGTTAGAATTTAGTCCAGCTCTTTAATTCTAGGGACTTCCATGTAGTGATTAGTTGCTAGATTAGTTAGCTATTTTTCTCTATAAATGGACTAGTATGCATTGTAATTTCTCAAGTTGAATGAATGAAATATTCCCCTTCTTCCCTGCCATTTACAGCATGTTCTATCATTTTATTTTCTTAATATGGTATCAGAGAACTGCTCCTTCCGTCTGCAACTCTGTCTGCCTTTTTTTTCTTCAGTTGGCAATTCCGCCTTGATGATTTATCAGTTCAACACCTGCAACAGCTATGATTGTAGCATCACTTCGTTGTACTACAGAACTGTATTTCCGGGTGATAAATCACAGAACTGATTTCGTTTCTTTCCATTTCTACTGGAATTTGTAAGTTGCAGTAGATCTGCACAACCAGATCGATTCATCCTCTTCAATGAGCAATTCCGCCATTGTTGAGTGTTTTCATGGAAGTTATTCAGATTTCCACTGTCTTTGTCCTCCTTTTATGGAGTTTTTCATAGAATTTATTACAGTTCCATTTCCTTCTTGTTAAAGTGAGATTTGTCAAATAAATTCAGCTATTGACAATCTGTTTTTCTTCATCATTAATGCAAATCAATTCAGTTCCGAAGTCGAACATGGCTGTAAAATGGTTTACGAGAAGAACATGATAACTTCGTCGAAACTCATAACTGGTTTGTGCAAAGATTATGCTTTTCTCAGTTGCTTGATGCAGTCAAGAAAATCCCCCATTGTAGATTGGGTTGCAAAATGTGTCATCATCATTTCTGATTTCATCTTTGTGCATCATCGTTTCTTCCTGTACCTTTGAGAATTTCTCGACAAAATATTTTTTCCCCCAGGACTTCTTGGTACAGTTGTTGGAAGGAACTGGAGTGGTGCTCCTAACAGTCACGGCTCAACATTTCATCAGATTCAACTAGAATTAATAATTTGATGGATCAAGTTGTAAGAGTTCTCCTGTTTATTATATCACAGACTCTGCAGATATCTTCTTCCAATGCGTGCATCTCTGTTTTTCCCTCTAAGTTCAAGATGTTCCATCTTCAGGGGGGAATGTTGGAATATAAGCATGTTCAGCAGCACAGCAGATCACACAACCTTAGCTCACATTCAGCTCATTCTAATTCTTTCTAGTTTCTTCTTTAGTTTGTTATTAGTTGTTGGTTTGTTAGAATTTAGTCAAGCTCTTCAATTCTAGAGACTTCCATGTAGTGATTAGTTAGTTATTTTTCTCTATAAATAGAATAGTATGCATTGTAATTTCTCAAGTTGAATGAATGAAATATTCTTCTACTTCCCTGCCATTTATGCAGATTCTATCCTTTTATTTTCTTAATATCTGGATCGAAATTATGGAGAGTGATGTACTACTCTAGACGAGTTAGAATTCTATCGACTTTATTAGTATTTAAGTTTTTATCTTATTTAAGATGCAGTTTATTGAAGATAAAATTATTGTATACTATTTGGTTTAGGTTAATTTGCGTTACTTTTCAGCTTGTGATATTGTCAACCTTGACTTTCTCTTGTTGCTTCCGACCAACTATGTTGCTCACTCTTCTAACCAAAATTATCCTAAATAGCTTAAAATTCTCTTCTCGGTTCGTTGTTTCATGGTCTTTTGCCAACTATACAAGTATCCAGGCCATACGGCCAAGTACTGTCCCAATTTCAGCCATGTACTAGTAATCTTACAACAATTATGCTGGTTGTACGGGGCCACATGAGCTGTGTGACGCCCCCTATAGGTGGGGGAAATGGACTGATTGGGACATGATTGAGATTGTAAGATGGGTTTTGCTGGTTGTACAGGGCCTCATATCCCAATTAGCTCAGTTCCGTCATAGACACGTCAACATTCACAAGTATTGCCCCACCACCCAGATCCAATTTTGAAGCTCTATCAGATCAATCATCCCCCAATTGGCTACTCTTCTACGGGGTATTCCACCATGTCAGTACTGATCTAAATAATCTCTCCATTCTTCATATGATGGTTACGACAACATCATGATTGGAGGAACTGTCTTGTCCATTATGCATATCGGGTGTGTTAGTATCTCTACAAGTCTCACACATTTAGCCCTTATTTGACAATCATTATTTCAAAACTCTTTATTCTACATATTCATTTTCAACCACACATTCACATAATGAAATATTTTATACGTTAACTTAAAATTTTTCCCTACTTTTTAATCACGCAGTCTCTAAAAATTCACAACTTAAAACTTTGTTTTTGCCAAATAATGGCTATCAAACGGGAGCTTAAATTGTCTATCGTTATCTTATTCCAGAATTGAAAAGAATCGATTTTCCATATCCAAATTATGTTCAATTTAATAAAGTTAACTCTTAAACAAAGAAATACACTCCGTGAACCTGACTCTCTACTTGCCGGGCATAAAAGATGGAAAGAGGAAACCAAGTGTAAATGGCTTGTACAAAAAAGGCGAACAACTCCGAATGGCAGGCCAAAAATCGTTATTGAAACACACCAGGGCTAATGAGTAAAAAATTATATTATAACAAAATTAGTTACGAACTAGCCAATACAAGGCCAACACTTGTCATTCTTATGAAATGATCAAATTTTCCAGAGACTTTGAGGGAAATTTATAAATACACATGCCTCATAAGGGAAATATATACAAATTCAAATATCTCTCTCCCAAATAATCATTTATCCTCTTGCTTCAGTTTGAGCATGAAAACTAGTGAGTATAGAGGTGAAAATCCGAGATAAGTGAGAAGAATTTGTTGATCCGATTTCTATCGTCAACATTTACGTTGAATTTTGTCCGTTTTCTTTTCAATCTCACATCAAGAATCTTCGGTCATAGGATTACAAATTGTGTGTACGAGTTGCCCACCTCCTTCTCCACTTATCCCACACCATTTCTTTCCCCAGCGTCAAAGCCTTTCATATCACTTCAGGGGCGGACCTACTTGAGGACCAGTGGGGGATGCCGCCCCCACTCAATTTTCAAATTTTTCTTCAAATTTTTTTAGTTTTTTTTGTCCAGGGTTTTTTAGGTTTTCAAATTTCTTTCCAAGGGTTTTTGGTTTCGTCCTCACTGAACTTATTTCCTGGGTCCTCCACTGTATCACTTGGCATAATAGGTTAGGTCATCAATCTGATGTGTCTAATGCTCGGGCACCCCTATTTCTCGGTAATGCATGCAAATGTACACAAAAACATATAAACTCACATATTCTGTATTGTCAATGTTCCTCCCCCTTCAAGGTCACATTGAAATTCTTTTGTTGAATTGTTTGATGGAAATAAATATTATGTTATTTTCATCTGTCATTTCACGAAATATATTTGGTTTGTCCCTCCTAAAACACAAATGTGGCATGTGCGCATGATGTTTTTCTTCACTTTAAGACTATTGTTGACGATTTTTTCCACACCCCCATAATATCGCTCTACACAGACAATAGCAGTGAAATGATCTCTCATCTCCTTAAATTTCTTTTTTTTTTGCGTGGCTTGGAATCTCTCATTAAACAACCCACCGCATACTCTGCAACGTAACAAGTTCTCTGAGCGTCATCACCATCGCATTATCAAAACAGGGCCACAAATCTATTCCTCTTAATTTCTGGAGTCATGTCCTCTCTCTTTTAACAAATTTTTTGTTTTCAGTGACGCCCAAATTGTGCAAAACTTTGTACTTTTGGATGCATTTGCTTGGCTAGAAGCCTAAAACTGTATACCTTACATAAATTGGAACCTTGGTCATGCCCATGTATCTTCCTTGAATATTTCCTCAACCCAAAGTGTTATGACCACTCTACCGAAAAGATCTACATTTATTAATACACGGATTTTGTCAAAAATATATTCCCCTCACCTCTATAAAATCATTACAAGCTTCATGTCCAATATTTCTTGGTTCTCCTATTGCACACAGACCCCTCCCTCCACAAGTCCATGTACTTCATGTTACAAAAAATATTCGTGAACGAATACCGATTTAACAAATATCATATTTACAACACATACCGGATATGCAACTTACCAAACGGGTTACATTCAAAATTTATGCCAAAGTCACCTATTGGCCTCATTTTTTCAACACTACAAAGCCTAATCTCCCTACCAGTGTCACTATTTCTACATTGCATGGCCATTCTAGTTACAAAATGCTTTATATGGCTCCAGCAAGCCCTGTGAGCGTGGTATGCTGAACAATGCAAATTTCTAATTGCTATGGGCTTTGTTAACTAAAAACAGAAGGAAGATTTCATAATTAAGAGATTCAGTTTTACCAATTTCAAATTTAAGAACTTAAGTTTAAAATTTAAAATTTCAAATATTTTTAAATTTTATTTATAAATAAA